CCTGGCTTCAGTAGCATGCATATCCCAGGAATTCTTTCCTTTTAACAGCCTGCTTTTTCCATGTTCAAGAGTAGAAGAAGTAGGCAAGTAGAATTTAGTTGATTGCTGGAGTGAATTTTTAATAAGACCAGTGTGTGCGCTTTTGTTTGGTGCAATTTCTCTTTTGTAGCTGAATAAAACAGTAATTGGTTACACATCTGCTCTTTACTGTTACTCTGATGAAATATTTCCTGTGACTGAATACATGGTAACATCTGTTACAGAAAGGTAGGTGGCAGAACTGTAATTTAACACACTGTAAAATATGCTGTGGGTTTAATTAAACTTCAGTATTTTTGCATTCAGAAAGTAGTAATCACCTCTGGTCTAGATGTTTTCTAGGACACGTTTTTCTTCCCTACTTCTGCTGATTGACTTTGTCAGAAGTTCGTTTGGTACCGTTCTCTTGAGGCTTTAACAGATCATTGTGTGAAGAACACTATGCAACATAGCATTTTCCAAAAGGATCAAGCAGAAAGCTCAATATGCCTCATAAGCTCACTTTTTAATAATAAAGTACTTGTGAACTGACACCCTTATTGAATATAATTTAGTAACAGAACACTCTTCCCCCTCTTCTGTTTGTTTTTTTCTCTTTTTTTCTTGGAAAGTACTTTTATTCATTTTTTTTTTTACGCTTGATTGCTGATTTTTAGCTTTTGTGAATTCAGCTTCACTTTGTTCAGGAAACAAGAGTCCCATACTTCTTGGTGATTTTCCATCCTATTTGCAGAATTACTAAGTAAAAGGAAAGTGAATGGGGTGAATTTATCTTTTCAGAACCCATTTGTAGCACTCAAGATCAACTACATCTGACTAACAATATATAATGGGTCGTTTTGAAGCCTTTTTTTCTTTCTTGATTTGACTTAGCCTTGACTTGTGTTGATGTTTTCCCTCACTCCCCTTTCCTGTAATCTGGTGTGTTCTAACTAGAAGTTTCAAAAATGTGAAAGACTTTGGTTAGTATACTACTGACTGTTTCACTAATCAATATTTAATATGGTTTTCATAGGGTATGTAACATGACACTGATATTCTGGACAGGTAATTTTCATTGTTTGAAAACCTTACATAATAAGGGGAATCAGGTAACTGCTAGAAATGAGCACCTTATTTATTCAATTTTTTTTAGCATCGTATTGCCAAGGATCTGTTTTGTCAAATCTGTACTTGAAACACCTGTAGCTTCTTACTGTTGCAATTAGCATCAAAATAGTACTGCAATTGTCAAAGAGAATTTAATATTTAAAGGGACACTGTCACTTATTAAAACTGAATTTACATCCTGGTTCTAAAAAACTCTCTAATTATTGCTCCCTTACTGGAAGTTCATAAGGCTATTTGATGGAATTCAACATTAAAGGCAGTGAAGCTAGTCCCCTTTGGCTTCTTCCCGTCTTCTGTATGCACATGCCTGCTTGTTGACTCGCTGGTTGCGGCTTTGCTATGGCTGTGTGCACCCTCTGGCAGAGCCTGGGAAGAGCG